CCAGTCAGTCACAAGTAGAGCGAACCCACAAAACACTCCTCCTGAGATCAATAATTCCCTCCTCCTCCGACGAGCCGCCGGCGCCGGAACTCCTACTCACTACTACTCCGATGGCTGCTCTCCTGGCGACCGGCTTAAGGGCTCTCTTCCTGGCCATGTCATGCACGTTCGGCGCCATTGCCATCTACACGTACCACAACCATCCAGCCTACCGCAACGAGACCTACACCACGTACGTGTTAATTATCCTTCCTTGTTTGAGTAGAGGATTGTATTAGGTTTTATTGTACAGAAACCTATATACATATATTTTAACTTGGTGAACCGAAGGCTTTAAGCCGTAATACTACCTAAAATCTGAGAGGGAGATCCTTTTCCTAAACTAGTGTGATGTTGACGATACCATGTTAACAAATCTTGTGTCTTGTGTTCATGATTTCTGGTTCTTTAGCTTAATTAATTGACAGTACTACGTAATCATCCTCAAGTCAGTTCGATCGGTCGACATTATTAGAATCAATTGGTTCAGTTTCGATTGTCTTCCTAATTAACGCCTCAGAGCACTGTTTTGCTCTTGCAGATGGTTGTGTGCCGCCATCACTGAGTTCTACATCCACATGTCTCCCTTGGCGGTACTTTAGATCGACCAGAGCATCAATATCTCTTTTATATATCCACCTTGCCCTTTTAAAAAAAAAAAAAAATTTGATTCTCTCCCACTCTCTTGTTAATTTCCAGCTGTGGGTTGCCTACAAGGAGTCCAACTTTGTGCGTGCAGCCATTTGGATACTTCTGATGATCCCTTCCGGCAGGTATATATGTATATACCGCATGCTGGATTCTACAAGAAGATGCAATTTTTTAGCGACCCGTAGTTCGTCACTAAAAATCATTTACGTCGTCCCTAAAAGTATCTGCGACGAATGTAATAGTCTCCAAAATCCTTTCCAAGTTCCGATTCCGAATACCCCTTCTCCGGAGTTCTCCCTAGCTAGCCTTTTGCGGCGAAGAAAATGCAATTTTAGCGACGCTCTTATCGTCGCTAAAAGTCCATAGAATTGTCGCGATAAAGTTTCTGCGACGAGGAGTTGTTCGTCGCCGAAGATGTCGTCTGTCGCAGAAGGCTATACAAAAATGGAAACAATTGGATCAATATCTGATGCCTTATGGGATGATTATATTATTTATTATTATGTGTTTTTATATTCGTGTCACCATGTACAGTGCAGGGATATGCGGCTACATATTTATTCAGTTTCTCAAGTTGTCGCCTCAAGAATCTGCCCAAGACCCGATTCACCATGTGCTATTGCGCCATGAACACAAGAACTGCAAGTCGTCGTCGTCGTCTTCTTCTTCTTCTTCAATGGTCGCTTCAAGAACCGCTTTCATAAGTCTGGGTTGTTTGATGATAGCAGCTCTGGTTTCCGCCGTCTCTATTGCCGGATCTCCTTTCCGTATGGAGGTCCTGCTCGCCCCGTAAGATCCTCTCTCTATCTATCTATCTATCTATCTATCTATCTATCTATCTATCTATCTAATTAGCCATGCGATGGATGAATGTGTTTTCTGATAAAGACTGTGTACCTGCTAGGTGGGTCATAACAACACTGATCGACTCCGCTTTCGTCACTGTGACTCTTTCGGTAAACGTCTAAAACGAAATGATCATTCAATTTGGGTTTCTGATAGCCTGAACCATATATATATATATTGTACGTAACTTGCGTAAAATTAAAAATATGACATACCTTAAGTAAGAAAATGATATCTTGAATTTGAATTGATGGGAGTTTGATATCAGGTACTATTCCCAAACGGCCAAATCCTAGGGGTGGAAAACGGGACGGGATTGGGTACCCGTCCCGTTTGAAACGGGTACCCAATCCCATTTGTAGACCAAAGTTCATCCCATATCCCAAACTCGTACGGATAACGGGTACCCATTAATCCGTACGGGATGGATAACGGGTACCCAAACTACCCGTTTATACCCGTTCAATATAGGAACAATTACAAAATCACTTTGAAACAAAATATTAAAGTTACACTTCGAACAAATTCTACCATAAGTTGTGTCCCATAAACTCAAATAACCCCGCTCCCCTTAATAACCCACTGCCAACATTAAAATGAAAGCTACTGCCCCTTAAGAACAACATGAAATTGAAAGCTAATGTTATTTAAGAACACACTGTCAACATGATTACATTAACATGATTACATTAAAATGAAATTGCACATGACATGAAAAAGAAATTGTCCACGTGACAATAAGAACATTTATGAAAATGAAGTTGTTAAAGTGCAATGAAATTTAATAAATCATAATGGGTAATACGGGTACCCAAACTACCCAAATGGGTATTAGCGGGTAACCCACGGGTACCCGATGTTGAGATTCCTAATCCCAAATCCCATCACACAACAAATATAACGGGTATTTGGGTACCCGTAACCCTCAAAAAACGGGACGGGTTTGGGTATACCCAAATACCCATTTCCCATTGGCCACCCCTACCAAATCCTTAATATAGGTCTTAATTCAATAAATCTAATACATTAAGATCAATTTAATTAGAAACAAAAATCGATGGTCATGATTCGTCCAAATATGTGAAAGAAATTACATCCGCAATATTAGGAGTTAGGCTCTTTGATTTATATATCTAAGACCTAGGGTTCACTAATTAAGGATTAGGGTATAGTATCATTTCCAAACATTCGATTAATTTGGGGTCTAAATAACGTTTTCTAACTCAGTCACTACAGGAAAAGAGACTTTTCGCAACAGGTAAACTGTGTTGCATAAACTGTGAAAAGTGTTGCATATATAATATGCAACACTTTTGGTAGTGTCCTCTATAGATGGTGTTGTATAAAGTCATAGGTAACATTTTTTTCATTTTTTACAACACAAAAAATATATGTTGCATATGCATATTACTTATGCAACACCTGTTTAGGTAACACTTCAAAAACTTTATACAACACTTTTAACGAGTACAAGCTACATGTGTACACTTTATTCGTGACGGGTTTTTTTTCGTTTATAAGACTAATCAAATAGTGACAACTTTTCCTGGTAACAAACATTATATATTTGTGACAAAATTGACCTGAGTAAAACTAGCTTTTGTGACAAGTTGACACCGACATCAAATATATACCACATGTCACAACTTCAATTTTGTCACGAGCATATCACTTTTGTGACAAAATTATAGTCACATATGCAATAGCATTAGTGACAAATATTTTTGGTTACGAGCATTATATACTTTTAGCAATCGTTTTTTCATCATGAAAGTATTTGTAATGGTGATATTTATCACATTCGAACAAAATCAATGAGGACTTCATATTATAAGAAATATTACATAAAATCCCAAGATTAATATACTGCCAAAACTACTTACACATATGTGCTAAAGCTATATATGAATACATACAAATATGTTATTCCTAAGCTATACAAAATCATATATAACTATTCTTGAATGCCTTGCTTCCTCTGGTGACTTCGCCTTCTTGATCCTTTTTTATCTTCGAGTGATCTCTCCTTTGCTTTATTATATGCCTTACCATTTAAGACAAACATCACTGGCCAAAGAAGAAGCTGCAGAATGTAGTGAGATCTAGAATCAATCAATCAAACTATAACAATAAGACTCTGGAACTGAAAAGAAGAACATCTCATCATATGGTAGTTATCAAGTAAGAGAGGAAACCCTATAAATGTACCCCAAATTATCCAATAAGCTTGAAAAAATTCAAAACCTAGTGGTTGTTATGGCTTGCCAGGATATGACTTTAGCAATTTAGAGCAATGGTGAGTTAACAGGATATGAAACTTCGGCATCCCCACTTCGTTGATTGGAGAAAAAGGAGCTCAAACGTCTCTACTGTGTCCAAGCAAGTGAACAATCAATCCGCAGTTGCAAACTGTAGAATCGATAGAGTAAATCAAAGCAAGTAATCTTACCTAGCCCGGCAATAAGAAGCAAAAAATCAATATGCTTCCGTTGGTAAATTGAGACAAAAACCTAGCTACAAAGAAACACAAACAACAATGTTGCGTAGAAAGTCGTGCAACAAGGGTTTGACACAAAATCCTTCGAAAATCCCTAAAACCAGAAGCATCAAAGAATAAAGTTGTGTTAGGGTGGTTAATACATTCGCCCAAAATAGGAAATTGAAATGACAATGGAAAAAAAATCCTACCTCGGTTAAAGAGGAGTCTGCAGAGGAGATGACAATCGGAAGGGTTGGTTGGTCGAACGCGATCTGAAGGGTTGCAACAAAATTAACGCTAAGCTTCTGTGATGCGAATGAGCTACCACCATGCATGGTTGCGGTCACAGCTTCATAGAGAGATGACGAGGAAGTATGGAGGTCAGAGTTCGGTAATCGAGATAGGAGAGTACGATAGCGCTGTAAGGGAGATGAATAGCCTCCCTTAGGGTTTTGTGGAATTTGGGGGAACTTTTATCGTGAGATTTTTATTATAAATTGATGTGCAAGAATCAGGGAAACTTATTCACTTAAGTAACAAATCAGGGCGGGCTTAAAAAATAATTAAGGGAAAAATTTAATTATTTCAACCAAAAAAGAGGGGAATTTTGCGTTATCTTTCACGGGAAAGAGGGGAATTTTTCCTAGTGTCGCCTTATGTAAAGGAATATGCAACAAATTGTAATTGTGATCCATAAGTGTTGCCTAATAAGATTAAATGCAACAAAATATTAATGATGTTGCCTAAAGTGCCCAATTAAACAACAGAAAATAGATGTGTTGGAGTAGCCTACATTACACGACACTTTCAAATAGTATTACAGAGTAGGTGTTGCAAAATGTCATTTTTCCCGTAGTGAGTGTACATATGTTGTACCCTAAATTTTACTTAAGGTAGAGTAGAAGATGTTGTCACATACCCTAAATTTTACTTAAGGTAGAGTAGAAGATGTTGTCAGATCACCTTCATCTACTGTATACTACAGGTGTGGGTTTTCCACAAGGAAACAAGTTGGTTAAGTGCTTCCCTGTGGGTGATTCTACTCATCTGTCTTGGCAGGTAATCTATGTCCTCCTCCAATATTCCATCTCCTGAACACTACAGACAGAGTTGAACAATGGTCTTTTTTCTGCGGAAATTGAAATCAACTTATACTTGATCTTTCCTCTTCTTCTTCTTCTTCTTCTTCTTCTTCTTCTTCTTCTTCTTCTTCTTCTTCTTCTTCTTCTGCAGTCTTGCTGTTTGTGCTTACATGACGAAGCAGCTGTTTCATCTCAGTTCTCATGATCCAGTCTACCAAGTTTTGCTGAGAGATGACAACAGTGCTACTGATGCCAAGGTTCCTCTTCTGAGCAGTTCAGTGGATCAGTTCGATCGATCGAGTGGCCAGGGGAACTGATGATGCTTGAAACTCAAACCTACGTACCGATCGATTAATGCTGACCTAGCTCGATCGATCAATTTTCAGCTGAAGACCATTAATCTCTATCTACCTGAACTTGCCTCTCAATCATGCTCTATCTTCTCTGTTGTATTCTTCTTCTCTTTGTAGTACTGCACTCTTCGTAAGGATCATCTCCTTCTACGTACTAATCTCTCCAAAAATAAGATTAAGGCCATCAGTTTTGAAAGTGGTTCATTGAGATATATAGTGAATGGACCGAGGGCAGTATAAAAGACTCTGTTTTCAAAACCGGACCGGAGGCTGGACCGGAAAAGTTAGTGGTTTAGGGTTCATTGGTTAATCGTTTCAAAACTGTTGGTGAACCGCTGCTAGAACCATTCATGATATATAACATATAAGACTTGTATATTACACTAATTTAATAATGAAGTTATCATTCACCATAAACAATTTCAAATTCATATCATCACCAAAATATCTAATAAATCATTCAAACAGTCTCATAAAAGAAATCATAATTTTTTCATTCAAATTAAAAATTACAGTGCCAGTCAATAGAGGAGAGCATAGAGTCGACAACAAGGTTCGAAAATTAGAAGAGGAAGCATATATAAAATTAATAATTATGGTTTGATGGCATAAGTTTAAGTTGAAGTATTTTTTTAATTTTTTTTGCTTAAAATAGTGAGTCAGTGGACCAGGTAAACCGTGGTGGTTCATCTGATTTTATGTTGAACCACGAAAAAATCGTTTGGTCGAGCAATAACCGTCCAAGCAATAAACCAGACCGCTATAGTAACTGATTTGGCGGTTCAACTGGTCCAGCCGTTGATCCGGTTTGGTTCTTATAACAATGAGAAAAGTTCACAAACAATATACAATAAAGGCCCGAGAAAACGGAACCCGAAGCCCAAAGCCCACACAAACTGCCCAAAAACCCAACAACGCTCAGGCAATGAGTCCAACACGAGTCCATCTCTCAAACCTTAGTTGCACTTAGGGCTGTCAGTCTGTCGATTTTGATTTAACCGGTTAAACCAAAACGTCGTTGGTAACTACCGACCGCCCATCATGCCACGATTAGCCGCCGACCGACCGATCGATTTTTGGTTTTTGGTTCGGTTTAACCGTGGTAACCATGAAATGACCGCCGGTTCGGTTGTGACCGGCTAACTGATCGATAACCGACCGAAATAAGCCCCTTCTTTTGACTCACTCATTCATCATCATTAATCATTCAAAATCATCAAAATCATCATCAGGCCACCACCATGAATCTTAAATCCCCAAAATCATCCTTTCCACCAAAATCATCATTCGTAATCAATCATCAGAATTTGAAATGGAAAAGAGAATGGCGGACGACGATTCGGCGGGAGATTCTTGCATGGCCTGGCGCCGGCGGGGGAGGGACTAGGGAGGAGGACAAGGCGGGGCGGGGAGAAGGCGGAGGAGGAGGAGGTCTCGGCGACCTAGCGCTGGCGGGCGATTCTGGTAGGTCCTAGCGCCAGTCGAGGAAGTTCATCGTGCGTCTCGGGAAGTTGGCGGTGGAACGCGGGTAGACCGTCATCGCCGATTGGATTGGCCAATTGTTTCATCTCGTTCGTCTCGATGGGAGGGAGGCGGCGGCGGGGTGGCTGTGGCCTGTGAGTGTGCGGCAGGGTGGCTGTGAGTAGGGCTGGGCATGCGGGCGGATCATCCGCGGGTTTCGGCCGACCCACCCGCATTTGACCCGAATTTAATTAAGTGGATGGGTCTGTGGGTGGATGACAGGTTGCACTGGGAGCCATCCGTCGGGTGGTGGGTGGGTTGTGGGTGAGTGTGCGGGTGACCCGCTCAACCCAACAGCAAAAAGATCAAAGTTGTTGGCGCTAGAGAGAGGAGAGTGGAGACGTTAGATATAAACTCGGACTGCTCTTGGAGTTTGAACCTCAAAGTCAACCTTCCAAATAGAGATCCCCTCTTCTTCCTTTACTTTTTCCTCTAATTCTTGTGCCTACATCACCGTTCTTTCCTTTGTGGAATTATTTTCCTTAGTTCCTTGCACCTAATAATCGTCTCAATTTGTAGAAAACTCTTTCATAATAGAATTTCTATCCAATTTAAGAACTAATTCGACATTTTTCGCCCTATTTCAACTTCTTGTTTCCCTCGATGATTCTCTTCACCTATTATCATGTCAAGTTGACTCTTTTATATTATATACATTGTGATGTGGGCGAACCCACAAACCCACCCGCATCATCCACCATCTGCCCGACCCAACCCGAGACTAAATGTGGGCGGGCGGTGGGTTAAAAATTATCAATCCGTTTAAGCGCGGGTGGGTGCATTTTATGGTCAAAATCCACCCGACCCACCCAATGTCCACCCCTAGCTGTGAGTGTGCTCTGCCTGCTGCGTGTTGTGTGAGGTGAGTCGAGGAACATGAAGGCTAGGGTTGGGGGTTTTAGGCAGATGGGCAAAAATGATGTCGTTTTAGGTTGGTCGGTTAGCGTCGGTTAGTCGGTTAACCGGCTAGCCGACGTACCACCAACCTATTCAGACACCCGACCGATGCAATTATATCCCGTTTTTGGTTAGCTGATAACCGACAGTTAACGATTAGACCGGCCGATTAGCAGCTAATCGACAACCGAAATGACAGCCCTAGTTGCACCTTGCTCGCTCTTAAAACCTCCAACGCCGCTTGTAGCAACATGCAACAGAAGCTAAGGGATGATGGACCAAACCAAAACAAAGAAGGGAAACTAGAAACAACCAGCTCAGATGGAGGGTAGCGGAAGCCCAAGGAGGCACCTTCGACCATTTCTCGTCGGACCAAACTCCATCAACTCATCATTGTAAGCAAATAAAGAGGGAGACATCAGAACGAAAGGACAACAAGTGAAGGAACCAACAAAGACAAACTTCTGTCTTCAAAATCTATAATTCGAGTCCAAGTAGCTGAGGGCCAAATATCTCCGAAACATTGAGATCTACAGAGCGAAAGAATAAGGTAAACGAATGTAATGAGGATGAAAAGACAAGTTGAACTCATAACAAGTCAATCCTCCTTTGTTAACTAGATCGTTACGTCTCCTACTCCTAGGGTTGGGTATGCAGCGGATCACTCGCGTGTTTGGGCTGACCTGCTCGCATTTTACCCGAATTTTGTTATGTGGGTGGGTGACGGGTTGCGGTGGGAGCCATTCGTCAGGTGGCAGGTGGGTTGTCGACGGGTGCGCGGGTGACCCCCTCCGTTGAATTATTTTTCTAGTTCCATGCAACTGATGATCATATCCATCCGTAGAAAACTCCTCCGTAATAGAATTTTTATCCGATTTCATAATTAATTCGGCATTTTTTCTTCTTGTTCCATCTTTTTGTTTCCACCCTATTATTCTCTACACCGATTATCATGTCAAATTGACTCCTTATATTATTTACATTGTGAAGTGGGTGAATCCGCAAACCCACCCGAATCATCCACCATTTTCCCAACCTAACCTGAGATTAAATGTGGGTGGGTGGTGGATTAAAAATAGTCAATCCGTTTAAGCGTGGGTGGGTGCATCCGCCAAACTCACACAATGTACAATTCTAACTTCTCTATATATGATAAATTAGAAACAGAGGACAAAAATTCAACCCAGAAAGGACTAGGAAGGAAACCCACTAGGGGAAATTGAACAGCTACAAGAGAAAAGACAAAGTCAATCAATAGTTGGGACAAAGAAAGCGAAGGATATGAAAAGGAGAAAACAAGAGGCAAAGAAAAAAAAGTGAACACAGGGAAATAAATGGCCTTTGAAAATCTTAAATGTTGGAACTTGAGAGAGAATGGGGAGAATTAAACAAATGAGTGGTATTTTTTTCCCCCTTATGCTACAAAAATGGTTGATCGCGGCTAGGTTGGAAGTTTGGTATTGAGAACAGTTTAGTTTGTACCATATTGCATTGAGCCAAATCAACTATTGGACCACACCATATTAAATCGAATATAGTGTGGTTTCGTCTTTGGTCTCATAAATTTTATAATAACTTAAAAGAATAAACTGAATTGACATTTGAACCGGATCAAACTGGACCTAATGCACTGTTAGTCGATCCTCGATCCTATGATGTATTTCACTATCGGGATGTACTAACTACATCTTAAAAATCCTTAAAAAATTAAGGTGTATTCAATTTCCAAACGATGCCTAACTTACATGTGTCTAGGAGTTTCAAGTGTGCAACAGTTTGGTTTGTACCAGACTGCATTGAACCAATCCGACTATTGGACCGGACCATATCGAAAATTGAATATAGCATGGTTCGACCTTTGGTCTCATAAATTTTATAAATATTTAAAAAATAAACTGAATTGACATTTGGACCAGACTGAACCGGACCCAATGAACTGTTGGTTCAGTTCTCAATCCTATGATGTATTTTAGTATTGGACCGCGGTTCTGAAGAGTTTGGTCCAAATCGGGAACATTTCACACCTGATGCTCCGCCAATGCTTGAAGTATCAAAAGTTTTGAGAATTTTTTATGTGTTTGGAATATAAAGAAATTCATTTTAAATTCTAAATTTTGGATTATGATGAATTGAGATTAGTTTTAACAATTCTGATGAATTGAGATAAAATTTCCAAATGAATTACACAAGTATTTTCATAATTACGATAAAATGACATAACTATCCTCACACCAATACTCCATACTTCCGCGCCTAACTTTCCTTGCCTAGTCGCTAGTTAACCTAATGTATAATCATGTGGAGAACAACCTTTTTTTAGCTCAGGAGAAAAATGGATTATAGAGAATATTTTTAACAGATGGATGTTAAAATTATTTAGAATTTAATATTTAAATGAAATAAATTATCAAATCATTTAATTCCATCTGTAGAATTTCTTGCGAAGAAAACTTTTACATGAATTAGGCATTTATACGGGTACGAAACCAAACTATTTGGCAACACCGGGACGTAGATCATGCAAGCATCATGAAATTTCCGTCTCAATGGTCCAAATAAGATTATTTTTTTGGTGATGAGATATCTTTTAATAAATTTAAATCAAAACTCAATTATTATGATTGTCTATATCCAATTATGGTAGCAAGTGGTTTGTGGCCTAAAGTAAACCTTGTGGGAATATTGTACAGCTGGTACTCCACACAATGGTAATTATGGGTGGGCAATGGGCGGCTTGGGTGGATTTTGGTCTAAAATTGATCCACCCGTTTACTAGCGAGTTGGAATATATGTGACCCGCAATCCACCCACATACTTATGCGGTTTGAGATAGGTGGGTGGCGGAAAGGTGCGGCTGGGTCGCGGGTTAACCCGTAAAAGCAATTCTCCAACTAGCAAATAAGAAAATTGACTAACATTTATAATAAATTCATAGCAAATTAGTAAGATTGTATCAATAATTTGTGATTTTTATATAATTAATAATTTATAGTTTGTATCCCAATATTTAATGGATATTAACAATAATTTGCATACCAATATCCAATATTCAGAGGATATTGCACAACACAATAACCAATAATAGCAGTCAAAACTATTCTTTATTCTCCACCTTTTGAAGTATATGGTCATACTGGAGTGCTTTTCGAAAATATGATGAATATTTGATACTATAAGAAACAACAATTTTCCATGTAAAAATAGAACGCGGGTACGGGTGACCTGCAATCCACCCACATAAGTACATGAAATAAATATCGGCCAAGTGGCAAGAAAGCTTTCTTATTATAGGTTTGGTGGATGGTCCACTAGCGTCCCTTTTATTTTTCAATTTAAAACTTTATTTTTTACGGTATATATTATATTTCTTTTTCGGATATTTATGGGGAAAAAAAATCTAAATTTGTATAATATAAATTAAGCTAGGACCAGCCTAAACGCTTCTGCAAAGACATGACTGATCTGGTAATCGGTGCCAACTTTTTATTTTATTTTATTTAAATGGACGCAGGGCATCTTTCTCAGCACTACATTTTATATATATACAAGGGAATGACACTTTAATTTACGCACCACAGGGGGGGGGGGGGGGGGATTATACAATACAATTTTGAGAAGCAGGTATTGAAAAAAGCAAGTATGCCACTAAGAGTTTATTAACCAAATCAAGTATGCTAGACTAGGAATGATAATGGATTGGGTCAAGCGAATAGTGCATATCCATTATCTTAACTAAAGTGTGTTCGGGTTTTATTCATATCCATACAAGAATCGAGGAGAAAAATTAAAATCATGTCAATGCCAATCGGGTTTCGATAAAAATGGTTATCCATTAGTAATATTTTTTTCCTTAACTTCAACAATCATATTAATAATTACATGTATATTAATGTCACTAGATTAGTTGAAAGTACAACAATAAATCACTATAACGAAGACCATTAGTTGAAGAGAACACAATTTCATGACAATATTATATAACTATAGAAAATATCAAATATTATGAGAAAATTAAAACCATTTATTGATAAAACACACACGTAGAATCGGACGAACTTAAATCAAATAGTGAAAAAACCATGTCCAACCATTATCGATAATATTCCATCTGGGTTTTGCAATGAAAGTCCTTCGTATTCGAATTTTTACCTACGGAGTACATTGGCTCTTTGCTTTTCCTGTTTGTTTCTTTAGTTTCATTATTATTAATAATATGGGTTATTATTTAAAAAAATGTACCTATTAGTTTAACTAACGATCAGCCGTGGCAATCACGTCAATTTTTTTATGTTTGTCATCTCTATTCTTTGTTGGAATCATGAACTGGACCGCAATCCAAACATTGCTTTGAGTTTTCTTTAATTAGAGTTACTTGATTCGAAATAAACCGATACATATATATATAAATCTAACGACTAGATAAGCTGACGTACACTATACGCCTGACGTACACGGTCATTACCATATATATATCAGGAAAGTGTAGATGCTTTCTGGTTTCTATATATAGTAGTACACAGTAAACAGTTGCCGGCCAGTTGCCACCCATCATCAGGTTCAGGTACAACACAAATTAAAAGAAGAGAAACACGATGTTGCTTCAATCAGAAGAAGTACTGCCGGCGACGGGGTTTACGGCCGGTGGAGATCATCCGATACAGTCAGCTGTGTTCGATGAAACTGTGTGGGGGGGTCACTTCCTCACCGATGATCAGGTACGGGAGTAGTAATTAATTAAGGAATCGAATGAAATGCAAAATCCCTTTGTTTAATTTAGACTCCTATAGGCTATAATTGAACTTTTTTCAACTAACTCAAGTTATTGTAGTTAATTAGCTTTTCATATGGTATGAGAGTCTGTGACCTAGAAGTTATTCTATGTTCGAATTTTGGCGATCCCATTTGTTAATTATATATGGTATTCACATTTGTTAGCAAATTATATAAGTTCCATAATTGAACTTCTTCCAACAACTCGAGTTATAATTTTATAACTATGTATGCCTAGATCTAGTTCCTTGATTTTTGGATGATGACATATATATGGTTAGGATTCAATGTCCCTTTTTAATTCCCTACTTTTGTTATTCGGCTTTAAGTCTCTCACGTTTTAACTCGAACTTTCACATAAAAACGATTTCGTTGTGTTATACAAAAACATATCATTTTTCTATATATTTCAGGCAAAAAAATGTTCGGATCAATTATATCATGGTAGTGAGTTTCTTTATTTGGAAGAATTTATTATCGTGAAGTAAACTTAGCTTGTCGGGGTGACACTAGGAACTAGGGTTGGGCATGCGGGCGAATCATCCGCCGGTTTGGGTCGGTCCACCCGCATTTGAACCGAATTTTGTTACGTGGGTGGGTTAGTGGCTGGGTGACGGGTTGCGCCGGGAGTCATCCGCCGGGTGGTAGGTGGATTGTGGGCGGGTGCGCGGGTGACCCGCTCAACCCAACAGCAAAAGGAACAAAGTCGTTGGTGCTAGAGAGGGGAGAGTGGAGACGTTAGACAGAAACTAGGGTTGCTCCTGGAGATTGAACCTCAAAACCAACCTTCCAAATCCCCATCCCCTCTTCTTCCTTTTATTTTTCCTTTGATTCTTGTGCCTAGATCACCTCTCTATTCTCTGTTGAATTATTTTTCTTAGTTCATTGCACATGGTAATCATCTCCATTTGTAGAAAACTCTTTCATTATAGAATTTCTACCCAATTTTAGAACTAATTTGAATTTTTTCCCCTTATTTCATCTTCTTGTTTCCGTTCGATAAGTCTATTCACCGATTATCATGTCAATTTGACTCCTTTATATTGTATACAATGTGATATGGGTGAACCGTACCCCCAAACCCACATGCATCATCAACCATCCGCCCGACCCAACGCGAGACTAAATGAGGGTGGGTGGTGGGTTAAAAATTATCAATCCGTTTAAACACGATGGGTGTGTTTTATAGTCATAATCCACCCGACCCACTCAATTCCCACCCCTGCTAGAAAGTAGGAGCTCAAGTTGTTAGAATTAAAAAAAAAAAGTATATAACATAAGTTTTGGTATTAGCTTCTTACATAGTCTCTCGAATAAAAACCACCTCCATCTCCATGCATGATTATGTTTGAAATTCTCAGGAATTGATCACACTCTATATATGTGCAAATCAAAGTGTTAAAACAATTTTCGAAAACATAAACTTTTGAGCTTTCATTGTCGTATACGGAATGATATCCCATAGAACTCGAACTGCTATGACAGATATCATTCTTGTAAAACGCAATATCAACATCTATCAATATGATTCTCTCTGTCTTTTTAGTGGCATCCTGTTCTAGGCCCAGAAAGTGGGGAACATGAAACTTTGAAGGAAGAGGTGCGGATGATGGTGACAATTGCAGTCGATAATACCGATGATGATACGGCGGTGGCGATAAAACAGAAGTTGAGGCTGATTAATGCAATCCAGTGCTTAGGGATTGGGTATCACTTCGAGATGGAGATTGAAGAAGCTCTGAAAAAAGTGTACACTCTTGGAGGAGAATCGTTCATTGAAAGCTACGATGATATTGATCTCCATCATGTCTCTCTTTGGTTTCGACTCCTCCGACAACAGGGCTTTCGTGTTTCTTCTGGTATGTACACGTAGAAAAATTATATGATACAATAATGCATACTTAATCAATCACCTCTTTTCAACCACTCGAGTTGTAATTTTTCAAATTGATTATGCACGGGTGCAGATGTGTTTAGAAAGTTCAAGGATGGTGACAAGGGGAAGTTCAAAGAATCGTTGGCATTAGACGGGCAAGGACTGTTGAGCTTGTATGAGGCTGCCCATGTGGCGATCCATGGCGAAGAAGACATGCTGGATGAAGCTCTGAGCTTCACAACCAAGAACCTGGAGCTAGTTATTCAGGATCCCAAGACCTCTTCGTCCTTCAAGAAGCAAGTTGAATTTTCCCTCGCCCTTCCTATATGGAAATGCGTCCCTAGGACACTTGCTAGGCATCGCATCGATGTTTACTCCGAAACAGAAGAGCAAGAAGCCTTAGCCTCCCCCAATGAGACCGTAATCTTGAAGTTGGCAAAGTTGGACTTCAACATGGTGCAGGGAGTTCATCAACAGGAGCTCCACGAACTCACAATGTCGGTATATACTGACTAATATGGTTTATATATATATGTGCTTGATTTTATAAATTTGCTTTGATCTTTCTTGGGATACCTCTTCCAAAGATATTACTCTGAGCTTCATGATATATATACGATAAGATGTATCAATTAGGTGGTGGGCGAGTCTTGAAACGACAACCAAATTTCCATATGCAAGAGATAGACTTGTGGAGTGTTATTTCTGGATCAACACTGTTTACCCCGAGCCCGAGCATCGCGTGGGTAGGATCATACTCACCAAATGCGGAGCTGTCTTGACCCTCATGGACGATTTCTATGATAATTTTGGTGATTACGAACAACTTGAGATCCTCACGGGGGCCATTCAGAGGTACGTTAAATTAATTAATTAATTAATTAATTTCTTAACCACTTTTTTCTGTAGTGAAGGTCGTACTCAGAGTAAAAACTAACAAGGGGTGAAAATAACGAACAACAATAACTTGCCAGTTGCCACAATTATTGGACCTAAATTAATCTAGAAGAGATCATTCTATAGATAGATATACTCATTATAACCTTAGATTAAAAAAAGCTCAGTAAATTCAAAACTAAAAAATGAACTTAATCGAATTGTTGACCAAATCAAATCATCTTTGCTCTGTATGATTCGGGTTGATGATCAGGTTCGGTTGGGTTTCACGCATATCGGTTCGGTTGGGTTTCGTTGCAGGTTGGATATTTTGGCTCTGGAAGAACTCCCTGAGGCGATGATGAAGGATGCGTACCGGGTCGTCGTCGTTAACCTTTTCCAAGAAATGGAGCAGGCCGTATCAGAAACTGCTGGTCCCACTTATGGTCTTGACTACTGCAAGCAAGAGGTACATTACATACATATATACGTGTTTAATTTGTTTCATGAATGATCGATGAAAGGGAAAACTTGATTAATACAGAGAAAAATTCACAAACTTAAAGCTCAGCGAACAAAAATAAAATCAATATTCTTCAAATAAACTGAAAGAACCCTCTTGTTAAGGATTCTAGGGGCTGATCTTCGGCACTCGTGAGATTGGAATTTAGGGTTGAGATTAGGGATTTAGATAGGAGAATTGGAGATTAGGGATTGAAGAACAGAATTGGGGTTGGGATAGAAGAATGGCCGGCGGCCTTTAGGGAAGAGAGGGACGAGATTTGAGAGGGATTAGAGGCTAGGGTTTGAGAGATACTTTCTGTAATATTATTCTTGACTGCCTATGACGTAAACCCAAAGTACATATTTATAGGAAATAAACCCAAAACCCTAATAAACTAATCCTAACCTAATTGGCCTAGGTTAGCCGCCAACCCTAACATTATTAATTATTATTATTATACTAATTATATGTCTAACATTCCACCCTCCTTCGAAGCGACCTTGTCCTCAAGGTTGCAGTCAACTTCCGTCTTCTTGATATTCCGCTTTCTCCGCTTCCAATTGCGCTCAATTCCATGAATGAACTTTTCTCGTGACATTCCAACGGTCCTCGACTCTCCACCCCCGTGACATATGTCACGTTCTTCATAGCCGAACAATTCTTCCTTTATTTTTTCGAAATCTACAAAATAAGAGTCGGAGAACTGTTCTTCCTTGTGCTCTAGCTCGAGGTCTTCGAAGAATTGTTCCATAAATTCTTTCATAAACTTGGTGGTACCTTCTTTTCCTTCATCTTGGACTCGACTCACAATTGCTTGGAAGAAAGAGGCTTGGCCCAACCCAATGTCAAGCCTTCTTGTGTTCTCCTTTTTTATTTCGTTTGGGCTTGAATCCCTCCTAAGCCCATATGCCAAGGTAAGAAGTCCATCCAAACCTGCTTCCTTCAACATACAGCCCAAGTTGGGCTCAACTTTTTCAAGTTTCGGCCCAATTACACCTTGAGAACCATCAGTCTCTTTCTTTATTGGCCTACAACCAGACCTTGACTCATCAGCACACTCGACCCGATTTGCTTGGCCCAGCGACCCGACAAACCGACCCATCGGTCGGCCCACCCATTCTGGTGGCTTGATGTTGGTGGCGTGACATAGGGTTGCAAGTGGAATGCCGCCGCCGTCTTCCCACGTCTCGACTCCCTGCAGCGACCCGTCCATCCCCATCGTCGGCGGCTCGGCTTCTTCCTCCGACGGTGGCTCTTCTCTCGCCGGCGACCCGGATAGTCGACGACATGGAGACCCGCGGGCTTCCGGTCGCGTCTCCGACCCGTCCTCCTCTGTTGTCACCCGACGACCCGGAGGTTCGCCCATCTCTGATGTCGTCTTTGCCTCCGCGACAACCGACAACGCAGCGGGAGTCGTCGTCATTTCGACGACCCGAGGCACGGCGCCGATCACGTGCTCTGCCTCCCGATCCACCGTCTTCAGCTTCAGCCCCGCCGATCTCCTGTTCGTCTTCACGACTGGACCAGCTGGAACCCGTCGCTCCAGTTGCTCACTTCGCCGCTCCGACAGTCCCGATCGATGACTTGACGGCGTCTCCGGTTTGACTAGTCCTTCCACGTCGGCGTGGAGCTTCGCCGCCAGGGTCTCCTTGACTCCTATCTTCTTCTCGATCGGTGAAGAGGCGGCTGATGACGGTGATATCGCAGGGAAGACAGCTGTTGCTGCCGTTGCTTTCTTGGCCGCCATTGTTGGCCCCTTCGACTCGGCGGTGGCGGTTTTGAGCGGAGCATCCCGCGCGATACTCCCGGACAGCTGCAAGGACGAGGCAACCTCGTTCCTGCTCACCTCTTCCAACTTTGACCTTAAAATCATTGTGAGTTCTTCGACTGAGAGCTCGAAGTTGGTCGAAACCATGGTACGAGTGCCACAACCGGGCTCTGATACCACTGAAAGAACCCTCTTGTTAAGGATTCTAGGGGCTGATCTTCGGCACTCGTGAGATTGGGATTTAGGGTTGAGATTAGGGATTTAGATAGGAGAATTGGAGATTAGGGATTGAAGAACAGAATTGGGGTTGGGATAGAAGAATGGCCGGCGGCCTTTAGGGAAGAGAGGGACGAGATTTGAGAGGGATTAGAGGCTAGGGTTTGAGAGATACTTTCTGTAATATTATTCTTGACTGCCTATGACGTAAACCCAAAGTACATATTTATAGGAAATAAACCCAAAACCCTAATAAACTAATCCTAACCTAATTGGCCTAGGTTAGCCGCCAACCCTAACATTATTAATTATTATTATTATACTAATTATATGTCTAACATAAACTAATGACAAAACTCGGCCAGTCGACCCCTTTAAATAGGTCCAAAAAAATAAACTAAACAAACAAGAAAAATGCAGTTTCCAAACTCATCCAGGGCCGATCCCTGGTCGCGGACCGCTTCAAATCTCCGATCGGGGATTAGCGTGATTCGGGTCACTCCGGATGCTCGCATGCATGCATCATATATTTGTTATTGGAGCTGACACTAGCTAATTATGAATAATGTGACTCATGTGTTTTGCCTCCTTGTACGTACGTACGTAGTTCAAGAACTGGTGCCGGTCCTTATTGGCTGAGGCATGGTGGCGCACTGAGGGCCATGTTCCAACTCTGGGGGAGTACCTGGCTCATGCAAACATAACCAGCTCTTATTTCTTCGTCTGCGCATCTGCGTATCTGGGTATCGGACCAGAACTAGCCACCAGGGAGGCCTTCCAGTGGGTGACCGATAAGACTAACAAGATGGTGCTGGCCTCCGCTTCCATTTGCAGGGTCCAGAACGACATCATGTCTTACTCGGTACGTATGATCCATAAAATTCATCAACTAACTCGCGAGTTATTGAAATCAAGGTGGGTCCGATTTTTTTCTACACTTGTAGTGGAGGTTGATAGCAAAGCTATAAGTTTTGCGTCTTTCGCGATGACCTGGACCCTAAAAAAATTCAAAAATTATATTTTGCTACTATTTAGTTGTAATTTGGTGGTGAAATAATTTTCGGATCATGCAAGATGGGTCCCGAAACCCACCTTCTATAACATTGGCTCCGCCACCGACAAAGTAAGTACCCACAGGCCATAGTCTTTTGTAACCATGAGAGAGGTTTTATGTTGGAATTCTGATTGAACCCCATTTAATTTAACCATATGGTATTCTGATATGTGCATGTATTGCATTCACTATTCAGTTCGAGCAAGAGAGGCTGCACGTGGCATCGGCGGTTCAGTGCTACATCAAGGAGCACGGTGTCTCCGACGAGGAGGCGATACTAGCATTGCTGGGCCGGATTTCAGATGCTTGGAAAGACATGACTGAGGTTATGTGCTGCCAGAAACCAATAACCCCGTTCCCGGCGGCTCTGTTGTCTCCGGTGATCAACTTCGCCCGATCAATCAGTGTGATTTATTTGAAGGCCGATGCCTTCACATATCCCCAGCTCTTGAAGGAACGCATTGCCGCCCTCTTCATCGACCCTGTGCCGCTTTGATCAATCTCGACATCGCGATCAATATGTAATATAATATCAGGCAGGCTGGTTTCCTTCAAATTTTCAGTTAAAGAGAATCTCGATCGTGTGTCTTTTCTCCCTACCGTTTGCGCGCTTCCAGTGGGGAAAGCGTACGAGTAATTTCGTGGTAAACAAAATGTTGCTTTAAGGTTTTGATGAATATCTAGTTTAATTTACCTCGTTTTGTCGGAAATGTATGGTAACCATTAATGTTATCTATACTTTGAATTAATCATATTATGGTGTATTGGTGTATGATATCATAGCTAAGCTTACACGTAAACTTTAGATACTAATTCTCTAAATCTTAACATTATATTGATGGGATTACTGGTGCAGATCTCCAAACGGTTGTTAAAGCATTTTTTTTAATTACCTTATCTCATTCATTTAACATCTAATTTGAAATAAATTTGCATAGAAAAAATAAATTTTTTTGTCCTCTACAAAATTATATCAATTTTGATATTTTTGGACCAAATTTTTTATGTCATCAGACGGAATAAAATACCGAATTGGACCTTAGCCGCCCACTATCACATCACGATATTACCACTGAAAGTATACGATGATGAAAGGTGGTAAATAGCAGTTAGTATATTCCTACTATAATTGTATACAATCATTTTACACTCTTATATATTACGACCATGATATAGTTTCCCCCACGTGGTATAGTCTCATAATAAATATCTCAAACCTTTTGTTCCAAAAGATATCAAAGTGGATGTTAATTTGAATAACATAATTGACTTGATTTTTTGTGAATTTTTTTTAAATGCCACTTAAAATGAAAGATGATTGTCTGGTTAAAATTAATTGGGAGTAAGTTAGAAGTCTTCTATAATGATAAGTATATGATTAAGCATGATTATTGACTCATAAGTTATGCATTGTATCTGATCCCATTCAGCGGCGGATCCATGTGCTCTAGGGGTGTCCCGGGACACCTCTAAAATTTGGGAACACAATTATTCAACCCTTTGTAGTAGTTTGCATATAGGTAAAAAAAATATTTAAGTGGCAGCAGGACACTCCTAAAATTTGGAAAAATGATTATAATCCCCCAATAGTAGTTTGTGTATGGGTAAATGTAAGCATTTAAGTGGTTGCCTATGTGATATGAACTTGGGTCGCTGCTACTATTAGTAAACACATTTTTCATTAGACTATAACTCATTTGTTCTTGTATTTTAGATCCAAGTATAATAGTAAAAAGCTATTTCTTATCCCAATTATGTTCAAAAGCTAGCGATTAAACCCAATTACGGGCTCCCCTTGTCTAGTGGGATATATCGAGAGAGATTTGTAGAGCATTGTTAGACACCAATTGTATTTTTTTTTTCAAAATACGAAACACGTCATGTGCTTTGTTGTACTTTGGACAAGTCAGATATTTTTTTATTTAATAATTATGTAATTATTAATTTAACTTAATTTTTAGGAGAGGACACCCCTATATAAATTTTCTGGATCCATCACTAATCTCATTAGTTCCCCTTCTTCTTAGTAAGTCAGACTTATATCTGCTTATGAGAATCAAAATAAATGTAAATTTTTTTGTATAAAAAATATATTATAGCAGAGTTGAGAGTAGTTTTTCATCAAATTTAATGTAACAAAAACAAAAGTAGGAATTAGAGATTTTCATGTACAATTATTTATGTATTTCTTATTCATAGCAAAATATATATAAACTTCAGGAATTGAACTATGATCTCTTCAGACAAACACAAGAATCATTAATTTATTTTTCTAAATTAAAGCATAAGAAAATCTAAAATATGAAAATCAGATGACTTTTCCACTATGGTTAGTTTGCCTACTATCTTTGGCGTTTGATTTCAATTTTCATTTTTTGATTAATCAAATCAATTTATATCTATCCTAAACCTAAAGTGATATTTCAAGCGTCACTTTAATGTCATATGAAAAAGAAAGGAAGAAAGAAAAAGGATAGTTGGCCGCACGTTATAACTTGTCGTTTGTCATATACGTAAACTTTAATAACTAAGTACTTGATTAGTTATAGGATTACATAATTGCTACTCAGCGTTAGCATTAATAATGATGGCAATTTGGGGAGATTTTTCCAAAAATAGCACTGTTTAAAAAAAAATTCAAAAAATAGCACCTAACTCCGAAAAATTTCAAAAATAGCACCCTTTTTGTAAAACCGCCACCCGGAGGTGCGTTTTTCGATGAAAAACGCCACCCGGGGAGCGTTTTTCGATGAAAACCGCACTGGTAAGGGACGGTTTTGCAGACCGCACCCCCAGGGTGCGTTCTACCTTCTTTTTTTTCCCCTACCTTAGGTGGAAACTTCAAACGAACGTATCTTTATGTTCGGGTATCCGATCGTCGCGATTTTTTTTGATTTCGCATAACTTTTTGAGATCTTGCAAGCCGAAGACTGGCAAAGGTGGTTTGGTCTCGCCTTCGTACAAAAAAATGTCGTTTGCTACCCCGAACGAACTTTTTTCCGATTTCGTCAAACTTTGGACAACCATAACTTTGTGCTCCAAAATCCAAACGGCATGAAATTTCTTTTTATTTCGCATAAATTTTTAAGGAATACAACTTTTATCATAGACATAATTTCAAAATGTACGTGGATTGCTGAGAAGGGAAGATAAGCTATTCCCAAAATCTTGTATATCCAAAAATAATTCATGTTTTGAAAATTCATTCCTAGTAAAAATTGTAGTCCTTAAAAAGTTATGCGAAATAAAAAAAAATCATGCCGTTTGGATTTGGAGCACAAAGTTACGGTTGTCCAAAGTTTGACGAAATTGGAAAAAAGCTCGTTCAACCACCTTTGGCAGTCTTCGGCTTGCAAGATCTCAAAAATTTATGCGGAATAAAAAAAAAAAATCGCGACGATCGGATACCCGAACATAAAGATACGTTCATTTGAAGTTTCCACCTAAGTTAGGATTTTAAAAAAAAAAATAAATAAAAGGTAGAACGCACCCTGGGGGTGCGGTCTGCAAAACCGCCCCCTACCAGTGCGGTTTTCATCGAAAAACGCGCCCCCGGGTGGCGTTTTCGCCTAAACCGCTAGTACGGGTGGCGGTTTTGCAAAAAGGGTGCTATTTTTGGAATTTTTCGGAATTGGGTGCTATTTTTGGAATTTTTTTAAACAGTACTATTTCCGGAAAAATCTCGAATTTGGGTGCCGCGGACATTCAGAGTTATGGTAATAAAATAATTGATAAAAATCCAATTACCATGATACCATCACTAGTCAGCAACCACTTCCATTCGTTTGGGAATAATAGTGGGTGAGAATGTGCTGGACCGCAATCAAAAAGATTCCTTCCCACCTCCTAATTCCTATTACTTAATACCAAACTGTTTCCCCTTTCGGTAAATTAGGACGAACGAGGCATATAAATATTTATTTGGACGTATTATTAGTTCCCCTTTTTAAGTAAAGTTAGGGTTCTTTGTACATTTTTTAATGACAAGAATAACCCTCGATTTCTTTGTACTCTGAACCTCTTTCCATACACCTCTGGTGTATTTTCTGTTTAATGATTATTCACCTTCATAAAAAAAAATCTCAAGCAACGAGACAGTGACGAGTCAAACGCTGTAACCAAACAGCAACGACATCTCTTATCACTTTCTCATCTTCTTGGAGCCAAGAGAAGATGGCATGATGACCAACTTAGAAGAAAATCTCTTGCTCGAATTTAGATTAATATAGAAAGATTCGACCCGTTTATTCGATTTGTTTGGCCTTTTTGGGAAGTACTCTTATCGACCCGACTTGTCCTGACTCACTTCATTGTTGACTCGTTCTTGCCAAAATTACATATAAATTTAGTCAAATTTCTTAGAATTTTTCTTTTATTACCTCATATTTTAACTGCCCAGTGTTAGTAATATTAACTTGGCAACATAATTCTGACTTGGAAGAGATACGTGGTGAACATTCTGAAATTTTAGTATTTTAACAAACAAAAAAAAGAGTTACGAAATTACTACCAGTAACAAACAAATGACTAATATTTTGATACATTACAAAAGATTTAGTTAATATTATATATTTCGAAAAATTTAACCAATAATTTAGAAAAGTTTGATTAATTAATTGTATTTGTCCACAAGCTAAAAGCATATGCCTTTTTCTCTCTACGCCAATACCCGCCAAGATTTGTGAACTCGAAGAACAAAGCAGATTGGTTAAGAAAATGGGAAAAAGTAGTAGGTTGCCATTAAATTGACATACTTGATCAGTCCAAGACAAAATACCTAGGGAAAAGTTAGTTACAGAAGGGAACGGAGCAGCGCTTAGGAGATTAATTCTTAAGTGAACAGTAATCGGACTCAATTTTTTAGATAAAAATGCTAGATGGCTAAACGTCGCCCTAACTTTACTTAAATCGCTCTAACTTAAAAGGGTAAATTACTAGTCTATCCTTCGTGAATAAAAAACTAACACTGCACCCAGTAAACAGTTAGTTGTCTTCTTCTTCCTTTCCCGATCGATTCTCAGCAAGTGAAAACGAATTGCCCGATCACCTTCCCCTCAAACTCGTGACGTCTCCTCCGGCTATAGGTGGCAACCCTTCTGCGCTGCCGTTGCATCTACAAATCGTGGCGGCTCTGGTCGAAAGCGGAAGTTTCACGAATCACCATATAGACTATTCCGCCGTCACTACCCAAAACACCGCCCTCTTCACTCTTTAACACCTAGGTTAAAAAAAATGAATGACTTCCACTTCCTCCTGGACATGAACAGTCTCCGTCGTGAACCTTGCTTCAACATGACAGTGATTTGTTGTTTTGACCATAAAAATGCACCCACCCGCGCTTAAACGGATTGATAATTTTTAACCCACCACCCACCCACATTTAGTTTCGGGTTGGGTCGGGCGGATGGTGGATGATGCGGGTGGGTTTGTGGGTTCACCCACATCACAATGTATATAATATATAAAGGAGTCAACTTGACATGATAATAGGTGAAGAGAATCATCGAGGGAAACAAGAAGTTGAAATAGGGCGAAATATGTCGAATTAGTTCTTAAATTGGATAGAAATTCTATTATGAAAGAGTTTTCTACAGATTGAGACGATTATTAGGTGCAAGGAACTAAAGAAAATAATTCCACAAAGGAAAGAGCGGTGATCTAGGCACAAGAATTAGAGGAAAAAGTAAATGGAAGAAGAGGGGATCTCTATTTGGAAGGTTGGCTTTGAGGCTCAAACTCCAGGAGCAGTCCGAATTTATATCTAACGTCTCCACTCTCCTCTCTCTAGCGCCAACGACTTTGATCTTTTTGCTGTTGGGTTGAGCGGGTCACCCGCACACTCACCCACAACCCACCCAGCACCCGGCGGATGGCTCCCAGCGCAACCCGTTACCCACCCACTTAACGAAATTCGGGTCAAATGCGGGTGGGTCGGCCCAAACCCACGGATGATCCGCCCGCATGCCCAGCCCTAAGTTCCACGGAGATGTTATTTTTTTGGGTTTTTTTTTTCATTTTCAACGAACAAAAATATATAAGGATATAAAGGTAATTCTATATATTAAATTAGGGCGATTTAAGTAAATTTAGGCTGATGTTTAGCCATCCCCTAAAAATATGGGTTTAGCTACTTTGTAGTATGCAACAATACAAATATGTAAAAGGAATTTGCGCTATTAATATTTAAAAATTTGGTCAGTTAAATTATTGCAAATTTTTTTTTCCTGAAGTAACTAATAAATTTTCATTTTTGGGCAAAATAAGTACTAATATTTTATAGTCGCTTTAATAATATACTCAAATTGATCGAAATCGTAAAAAGTTAAATAAACAATTTCACTTCAATAAATTAACTTGTCCCAATAACTTGATTTGTTCCAGTGCTTTTAAGACAATGATTGATCTTATTAATGAAGGCCGTGAAGACTTGAACACACAACCTCAATAACAAGCCAGTTCTAATCCTATGTCACAAACCAACTATTTTCGACAACTCAAATTGTTGGTAGAGATCCACTCTTGGATCGGACTTTAATCAATCTTCTTTACATTTCGCGCGCCCCCATAATGTCGGTTCGAGTTCGAACCTGAAACCTCCTGTTTCAAAACTAGTGTTATTATCACAGCACCGTCTGTCCCTCCCCTTATTAATACAAGCGGTACAGAGCGAGGGGTAACAACGTAACAATGGATAACACACTACTAGAAGTTGGGGCGCAGCAGTTAGCCCCATGGCTGACCATCTCGTTCGCAATATTCATCGCCACTAGTGTTTTCCTCGTATCAATATGGACCTGCGTTGTGAAAAGGCCGCCCTCGTCCCCACCAGCAGCTCGGCTGCCTCCAGGGCCATGGGCGCTGCCTCTGGTCGGGAACCTGCACCAGATGGCGCTTGGGTCGTCGCTCCCGCACCGGCGCCTGCGGGACCTGGCCAGGCAGTACGGCCCCGTGATGCGCCTTCGGTTCGGGGAGGTCCCCATTGTGGTCGTCTCCTCGGCAGAATGGGCCCAGCTGTTCTTGCAGGCCCACGACGCCAGCTTCGCCGCCAGGCCGCTCCTGCCCGCCGCCAGCATCGTGTTCTACGGCGGCCGCGACATCGCGTTCGCGGCCTACGGCGAGTACTGGAGGAAGATGAGGAAGGTTTGCGATGTGGGGCTGCTGGGAACCGGGCGGGTGAAGTCGCTGCATCCCGTCATGGAGCAAGAGGTGTGCAAGTGGATTCACGCATCCATCTCAATCTCACGCACCGTTGCTGCTGACAACACCGGGATTTCATCTAAGGTGGGTTCACTCAGAAAATAAATACAAAAAATGCTAATAGATAGTATTTGTTCATTTTTAAAATGTTTCATCGTATATTTTTGGAAAATTTTGGTAAACGAAAATACATTAGCAATAGAAAACTTTTGAAGAATATGATCACTTTATCGTATACCAACGAATTATTCATGATTTAGCATCGCGATAACTCGAGTCGTTGAGAAACTTAGTATTGAATCTTATATCAACCAACTATGTTATTTATTAGGGGTGGCTATACGGTCTGGTCCGGTTAAATTGGCCCAAATTGATCCGGTCCAGTCCGGTTTTTTTGAGAATATAAGGCCGAAGATTGGATTGGATACAGTCCGGTCCCTATTCGGTCTTGATTTTATATTGAGATTGTGGGAATTTGAGTGGCCTAAGGCCTAAAAGGGTGAGGAGTTGGTTAAATTTTGTACTAAGTGTAAAGGTTTGTGACCGTTTATGCAAATTACCCTTAAGTTTTGGGTGTTGAGCTCTCTTATCCGGTCTTTATCCGGTTTTTTACCTCAAATCTAAGCCCAAAGATTGGATTGGATTGTTTACTATCCGGTCCCGGTCCGGTCTCAGTCCGGGTTATACGATCCGGTTTCCGGTTTTTCATCCGGTCCCGGTCCAAATAGCCAGCCCTATTATTTATTAAAAGGTATCAATAATTCAAATTGTTGTGTGTATCTTATACTATGTACTAATTAATATACACCCTCTCGTAAGAGCGTCAACACTTATGACAAATTTCAATATTTTGTATTTAATAAATACAATCGTCAAAATTTGAACAAAGAAAACTTCTCGGTCAACTAATTCTCAAATTGGAGACGCTTATTTTTCGTATGAATTAATGAATTATTACACCTTCTAATCTAACTATTTTACTGCCGAGTTTATCAGAGTGATGAGTCTCGAGACTCACCCCTTTACACTCTCCCTCCGCCGCCGGCTGCTGGTGAGCCCATCAACCTGAGCCGATCGCTGTTCGATTTGGGGTGTTCCATCAACTCGCGCCTGGTCCTGGGGATGAGCTCTCTGGGGCAGGAGGAAGTTGGGGTGTTCTTCTCGCTTGCGAGCCAGCTGATGAAGGCCATGGGAGGGTTCGACCTCGTCGACCTGTTCCCTTCCAGCGAGTTGCTGCGGCGAATCACGGGAGCCCACGGCGAGCTGAAGAAGCTTCACGCCGCGCTGGATGCCATCCTCGAAACCGTAATCAACGACCACGTAACGAAAAGATCAGCAGCCAAGAATATCGACGATGAAGAAGAAGATCTGGTTGATTTTCTTCTGAATCTCAAGGAGAACAACGAACATCGCCAATTACCCATCACCAACTCTGACATTAAAGCTGTCATCTTGGTGAGTAATGATGAGTATCCGTCCGTCCGTCCGTCCTATTTATTGTTTTCTAGAACGATTTTCATATACATGAATTGCAGGACCTACTGATGGCGGGAACTAGTCCGTGGATCGCGGTGGTAGAATGGGCAATGTCAGAACTGATGAAAAATCCGAGAATGATGGAGAAAGCACAAAAGGAGGTGAGGCACAGGTTTGATGGACAAGGAGAGATCGTCGTAGTCGTAGATGAAGCATGCATTAACGAGTTGCAGTATCTACAGTTAGTCCTAACAGAGACGCTGAGGTTCCATTCTCCGGGGCCTTTGAACCTTCCCAGGGAGAATCAAGAGACGGTGGTGATCAATGGGTATCAGATACCGGCCAAGACCAAAGTTATATTCAACTCATGGGCCATGGGACGGGACCCCGACCACTGGACCAACCCGGAATGTTTCGATCCCGAAAGGTTCCTTCATACCTCCACCGACTACAAGGGCCACCATTTCGATCTCATCCCGTTTGGAGCCGGACGAAGAATCTGCCCGGGCATGCATTTCGGGACTACCATCGTCAAGCTCGTGCTCGCGAATCTGCTCTATCATTTCGACTGGGAACTCCCAAATCAGATGAAGCCTCGAGATTTGGACATGTCGGAGCGGCTTGGCTTGGACTTGAGGAGGAAAAACGATCTGGTCCTCGTTCCCATCCCATACCACCATGGGTCGATAGAGGTAGCTTAATAATTGGGTTACTGTGATCGATATGGTCATCGTTTTCTACCCCGATCGAGCTCCCTTCGGTACTGTTCTTTCTCGTTGGCTTAATTTCACCGTGTGTTGTGTGTTTGAATTCCACCACTTGAAATGGAAATTGGATGATGATGCTGGCTTTACTTTTAGATCGACCCATGACTGAATACGGACATGTTAGTTATATCACATGAATATATATATATTATTAGAGTGGTGGAAGGAAAGGAGAACGAGCGTCCTTCTTGAAATTCGAATTTGGAGACTCCAAAGTCCAAACTAAAAAAAGTAGTAGAGCATAATGATATTTGAATAATTAAAGCCCAATCATGTGCATCAATGTCTGTCGTCGGATTGTTGTTTGGATTATTGTTCATTCGAGAAATGGATTTTCTCACCTAACAACAATTTTACTATAATTAATAGTATTAAAAATAAAAATCCTAAATAATTTAAATAAAATGACATATAATTATTTAGACACGAGTTTAAAATTTCACTACCTGACAATGATCCACCAACATATTATATTATATACGATGATTTTATTCGATCTGCTTCATGTGAGTTAGTTAATTACTTGAATTTTATGATAAATCAAGTCGCAAGTTGGAGATGGTTATGCCTTATATACCAGTATCATCAGCAGGTTCAAATGTCCGATAAAAAACATATAATTTTTTTATATTTTTTAAATTTTAAATTTTGATTAATTTCAAAATGATAAATAATAATAATTAGAAAAATAATTTGAATTTGAATTTTTTAATGATTTTTAGGCTGACTAGGTAATGACATGGCGTGTTGACTAACGGTCAATGGTGTTGACCGTCCAAATTGACGCTCAAAGCATGTGTCGGGCCAATTTAGTCTATATGCTGCATAGTTGAGGCCATGATGTTAATTTATGAAACCACGTGCCAAAGTTAATTATATAATCATAGTTTTGGCCAAAATAAGATATTAACCCTAAATAATAAGTTATTCCAAACTTTACCATAAGTTCGTAAAACTAATACTTTATGACTAATTTGTCACTAATCCTAAAGTTCAGTGGTCATTCCTGTAAATTGGTCAGCGAAGAGGGCCCGCCTTGGATCAAACTCTCGTCACCCCGAGTTCATACAAAATAATTTAAAAGGAAAAAAAAAAAAAAACGAAAGCCCTTTGCTTTGATTGAATAATAATCTGTAGCCGTCCGGCGTATTCCACAAATCACCGGCCAAAAAGACCAATTTGGGGGAAAAGAGCGATGAAGGGACTAACCCTTTCCCCAGCTAACCATTGCTTTTCTAATCACCCCGGCAAAAACCCAACAGAACAACAAACATTACAAAAATGCTCCATCCCGATTCAATCCATCAACAAAAATCGTCGACAATCCCTAATTCTCCCTTCGCTCGCCGTTAAATCCTCCCAAAACCCTCATCAATCGCCGGCGTCCCAGCACCACGATTCGCCGCCCCTGGTGGTGGTCGGCTCCGCCAACGCCGACATCTACGTCGAAATCGACAGGCTGCCCAAGGAAGGAGAGACGATCTCGGCCAGCAACGGCCAGACGCTCGCCGGGGGGAAGGGCGCCAACCAGGCTGCCTGCGGCGGCAAGCTTTCCTACCCGACGTACTTCGTGGGTCAGGTTGGGGAGGATGCTCACGGGAATTTGATCGCTGAAGCGCTCAGAAATGGCGGGGTGCGTCTCGATCATTTGAGGAACGTTGGAGATGGTGTGCCGACTGGGCATGCCGTGGTGATGCTGCAGTCTGGTGGGCAGAACTCCATTATCATTGTTGGTGGGGCTAACATGAGCTGCTGGCCTGAGAAGCTGGGGGATCAGGATTTGGAGATTGTGAAGAGTGCAGGGATTGTTTTGCTTCAGAGAGAGATTCCTGATTCTGTGAACATCCAAGTTGCTCAGGTGAGTCCTTTGGAATCGAGGGGCATTGTTCATCTTCTATGGAATTGTTAGCTAGTGCTACATGTTGGTGCTGAATGCCCATTTGGTCACGAGAACTCGCTCTCGAATTCGATAGTGAAAGAACAAAAGCACCAAACTTGCCTAATGAACCCCATCAGCATTCTGTGTAGTCTTCACCAATGCACAATGTGATGCATTATATAAGCTAGAGTTCCATGACCAGGTTGGTCTCTAACAGGGTGTTTGATAGAAAGTATACTTCTGGAATTTCGATGGATGTAGATATACAGACTAAGCATGAATGAAGAAATTACCTGGAGAGTAGAAAGTACCAATCTTTGGTTTAGCTTTAAGATTTTGTTGGCGGTCTATGACGCTGTAATCCTGATTTGAAACTTTTCCATATTATCAACCTCTGATAACTGAATGCGCATAAACTTTTTGGTAAATTATCTCATTTCTACTCTGGTTTTGTGATGGTTCCTATCTTGCTAGTTGCTATATAGGGAAATATACTCAGATGGCCTTGCTTTCAACACTGCAATTGAGATTTTCCTGTATTGGTTCTTTAGGCAGCAAAAGATGCTGGTGTTTCCGTAATTTTGGACGCCGGTGGAATGGATACGCCTATACCAACTGAATTGCTCAAGTCCGTGGACATCTTTAGCCCGAATGAAACTGAACTTGCTCGAATCACTGGGATGCCGACTGAAAGCTTCGAGCAAATTGAAGAGGCTGTCAAGAAGTGTCACAAAATGGTTAGTACTACTTGTACCATGTGCAGCATTTGCCCATTGAAGTTAAGTGCATTGTCTATAAGAGCTGAACTATTGCTCAGAGGAAGATTCAATGCTTACATTTTTGGACAGTTCATTGATATTTGTCATCTGATCATCATTTTCCTGTGCATACCCGAATCCTCTATTGTGTATATCTGTGCATCTCACTTGGTAAGCTTGGTCTGATTTGTGCATTACTTGGCAATGCTCTTGGAGACTACTGGTAAACTTCCTGCTTGGTATACTTGTGGATACCATCAAATCCTGTCTAGATTAGTGTCCCTCCTTTCAACTTTCGTTTCGAGAGACTTGTATGTTTGTCCCTAATTAGTCGTCGGATTGATGCATAATTGACAAGATATAGTTCTTCGGGAGACATGGTTTGATGTGGCGAGTGTTTACAGGGAGTCAAACAGGTGCTAATGAAGCTTGGTTCCAAAGGGTCTGCCTTATTTGTAGAAGGAGAAAAGCCGATGAAGCAGCCTATCATACCAGCAGCAAGAGTTCTGGACACTACTGGAGCTGGAGATACTTTTACTGCTTCCTTTGCAGTTGCACTTGTAGAAGGGAAGTCGAAAGAAGAATGCCTGAAATTTGCTGGTATGTTTTGACTATAATCCTGTGATGATTCTTGCCCTTCTATCTATGAACCATCCTCCTGTTGTAGTTGTGTTAAACCATTGATTCCATTGTCAAGGAACCACCCTAAAAAATTTACTGCATGTTTCATTCCTTAAACCCCTGATTGTCAGAAAATTTTGCTTCTCATACAGCTGCAGCAGCTTCCCTTTGTGTTCAAGTCAAGGGAGCCATCCCCAGTATGCCTGATCGGGTGTCAGTTAGCAATCTTCTTCGAACTGCCCAAGTTTCTTGAAGAACAGGTAAAGGCTATAGATGTTCTCTAGCTTCAGAAAGGCTCGAAAAGAAAATTTTAGTAATCTGAAAGGCCAGAGGATAGGAAGATGTTCCATTCAAGATCCGAGTGTCAAACAACTGTTGCATATAGAAAGCTAAATGCTTCTTCTGTGTCTCATCAGTTTATGAATATAGCTAAGAGACTACTTTTCCAGTTATAGAACCCTCTTACAGCAGCATTTACACATATTCATCAATCAAAATGACATTATTCGATCTCAAACGTCTCTAGCAGAAGCTTCATTTCTCCATGGGCTTTAGCTTCAGTGCAGCGCTGTAAAAGATCATGCTCAATGGTTCAGGAAACAGAATCTACAGAGCTCAACGGAGGAACCGTATATTCTGCATTTCTTTACCTGTTTATGCAGTAGCGTTTGCCAGTAGGTGGCGGGCCATCATCAAACACATGCCCAAGATGAGCATCACAGACAGCACACAGGTTTTCTGTCCTGGGCATGAAGATGATCGACAAGTCCATCTTCGACTTCACGTTGTTCCCTATTGGCTGGTAGTAAGACGGCCACCCAGTTCCACTGTCGAACTTGGTCGATGATCTGCAGCGTGAAATTCGTTAATGTAGCATATCCATTTGCATTCTCGAGATCTCTAAAACTTGTTTAGATACTTACTCGAAGAGCGGTGTGTCGCAGCATATGCAGTGGTATGTTCCAGGGGTTTTTGTGTTGTAGTACTCCCTGACAGTTCACAAACATCAAAAGCAGTATTATGCAGATTTGCAAGCCACCCATAGGCACGAAATGAATTAGTAACTGTTACTGTCCATAGATTACCCGGTGAAAGCCCTCTCAGTTCCCTTCTGCCGAGTTACATAGAACTGTTCCGGCGTGAGCTTCTTCTTCCATTCTTCATCACTCGACGGAACGGCTTTCTGCGGATCTACAAGAGGCCGACACCAAATGATAAACCCAAATTACACCCAGAAAAAGTGTTACCAGAAGCAAGATCGTGACCAAAATCCCACCAAATCAGCAGAGAGAGCGAGAGAACCAGACCTCGAACGTTTTCTGGTTTGGGAGAAGAAGCAGAGGAACCCATGGCGCGAACAGACGAAGCAGAAGCAACTGATCGGCGACGCCAATTATTACCCGTCAGCGACAGGGAAGATTCAGAGCTAAAACGGGGTATCGACGAAAGCAGCTTTACGCTTGCTGATGCAGCTGCAGATAATTGTATCGTTGTGCTGAAACCTAGAGCAACCATTGACTTCATTTCGAGTTTGGCGATTATCAATTTTTTTTTCCGAGTTTGGCGCAAAACCACTGTACTACTGGTGGTCTCTAGACCACTGGATTAATTTCAGACCTTTTGACAACGTGGCGCTACAGAAGATCGTGAAGATGGATAAGATACGCGAGTGGCTCATGCGATGCCACGTGGCCCTCTGCTTACAAAACGCCAAAGCCCCACGCTACGCCCATTTGTACACACTCCGAGTGAGCTAAGTCAAATCAAAACAAACCCTAGAAAGCTCCAAACTCAGAGCACCGATCAAGAGAATCAAATCAATGGCGGACGAGGTGATACTGCTGGACAAATGGGTGAGCCCGTTCGGGATGCGGGTGAGGATCGCTCTGGCTGAGAAGGGGATCAAGTACGAGTACAGGGACGAAGATTTGAGGAACAAGGGCGAGCTGCTGCTGAAGATGAACCCGATTCACAAGAAGATCCCGGTTCTGATTCACAACGGGAAGCCAGTCTGCGAGTCGAACATCATCGTTCAGTATGTGGATGAGGTTTGGCACGACAAGGCTCCATTGTTGCCCTCTGATCCTTACCTCAGAGCTCAAGCTAGGTTCTGGGCTGATTTCGTCGATAAGAAGGTTCGAATTTGTTCCTTTTTCGTTTTTATGTCTCTTTGTTTGGTTTATTCTCCTTATTGTAGGATGATTTTTACTGGAATTATGATTTGAGGGTTTGTTTGTGATTGTTTGAAGGTAAAGGTTGGAGCTTGAATTTAAGGATCTGGAGGTAGTAGAGCAGTAGTAGGAGTAGATTAATAGTTAATGAAAGTTGTCAGGAGATCTTGGGTGGGTATTTGTGATAATTTGGGGTTAAAATACTCCCTTTGATCGGGGAAATGAGCAACTTAGTGACTAACAAGTCCCTGTCAGTGTTTGGTGTTAGGTTGCTAATGTTACACTCTCTGGTACAAATGATTATTTGCTAGAACGAGTGATACTTTAGTTCTATAAATTGTTGGTACAGTATTGTGCTTGATACGAGTAGGCGAGCGCAGTGACCAAATTGGTGTTTTACTTCATGGTTTGCTCTTAACTCATAGCAATGTAGCTGTTGAAACTTCAAAACATCACCAAGCTTTTGGAAAGGGCAGATCTTTCTTGTCCATTGGATAGGTGATGTTGTGTTTCAAGCTTCAAACATAGTGTGTCGTTAGAAAATTACTGCTGTCTTCTACTAGGATATGAAGAACAAAGGGGTATACTTTTATCTGATGATTGGAACTCTAGATTCAGCAAGCAAAGAAAAATAGAACAATCATAACATGCTCAACTTACCTATGCAACTGTTTGAATGGTTTAATTTGTAGATGTACGATACAGGGAGGAAGCTATGGACGACGAAAGGGGACGAGCATAAGTCAGCAACAGAGGAGTTCATCGGGTACCTAAAGACACTGGAAGCAGAGCTAGGAGACAAGCCATATTTCGGAGGGGAGAAGATGGGCTATGTGGATGTGACAATGATACCATTCTACTCATGGTTCCACACCTTTGAAGTCAGTGGCAACTTCAGCATTGAATCCCACTGCCCCAAGCTGGTGGCATGGGCGAAGAGGTGCATGCAGCACGAGAGCGTGTCGAAAACCCTTCCCGAGCCCGAGAAGATCTATGAGTTCGTTCTGCAGATGAAAAAGAGGCTAGGGATTGAGTAAGTGAAGAGTCTTCTATAGATTCTTCTCCTAGTGTTAGTTCCAAGTCCAAATGGAGCTAGCTAGTCTGTATTTTTTAAGTGCTGTGAGTTGAGGAAATAAAGGAAAGGCACTTTGATGTTTGTATGTGCCTTTAGGATTGTAGGGTTGGTGTGCCTTATGGAAGTGGCACTTAAATGTGCCATTCATGAGTCTACTGTGGTTGAGTGGTGTATCAGTACTGTAATGTTGAACCATTTTGGCAGTGTTGGGTGTAGTTTCAGATCCTCCAGTGCAGTTAGCACTTAAATGTCACATTACTATTTAAGTGATTCGGAAGTTTTCCAGTAGAAAGATTTTCACTCTATAGAATTCTCACCTCAGAAACAACATTTTCATATTTTACTGTTTCATATCTTCAAAAGAATATTCATCCCTCGAAGAAGAAGATAGGGTGAAGTTCAAGTTATCGCCATGTTATCTCCAACCAAGGGGAGGTCCAATTACATTACATGCACTGATGCACAAGCTCGAGACACTTGCTAGCCGTATGTTAAGCTTACGCGTGGTACCCTGTGGCAGCACAGCACGTTACAGTACTATTATTATGGAGAAAACATAAATGAATGAATAGATAGATAGATAGATAGATAGATAGAGCTTTAATAAATGGAGAGAATGGAAGTAAGTGAAGGCCCATGCATGTTGATATGCGTGACCTTCCCACTTCATTTCTGGACCAGTAAACGATTCATTTCCTCTCATCGATGACTGATGGATGTAATGGATGTTGATACTTAAGGCTGCGTTTGTTAATGCCATTTTCTTAGATCTACCGGAGTGGTGTAGTCACACTTTGAATGGATGGGGTCCTTACAAATTTCGAGTTGATAGGGGTGCTTATTTGAGATAGTATTTGCCAAAGTATGAGATCCTGTATTTCAAGAATTATGCTAGAATGCATATATTTAAAGGATTATGCTAAGTGGAGAGTCCTAATAGCCCTATGCTCAAGGGCTCAGATGTATGTATCGTGTCGCGAGTTGTTCTTTGACATACGTTGTTAGTTGTCTCATGGAGACGTACAAGGATGATATAAATAAAAATTCAACTGTACTCATGCGGAACGATAAATTACATTACGATGCGAATTTACATATGTTACGATATCACAAACACAACTTTTACAACTCATAAAAATTCAAAGAAGCGCAAACAAACACATACTCCATCAAAATCCATTTAATGCACCCTCACCAACCCATCATCTCCTCAAATTAAAAGCTCCCCTCAGCTCATTTATAGCATTACAACCGCCCATTTGTTTCTTTCTTATCATCACTCTTTCCTCCACAATATAAGAACAGGGTTTCACTGTCAATTCCTCCTTGTCCTTGATTGTATCTACTCACTCCTTGCAGCTTCAATCACATTGAGAGAGAGAGAGAGAGAGGGAGGTAGAGAGCCCTGAAATTTAAGTTATAGTACAGACAGAGTACTTTGGAGGGGGAAACCAAACAATGGAGAAGACCAAAGCAAGCGGAACGATGATGGGCATGAACACTTCCACCGCAGCCGGTAACCGGGAAGAGCTGCAGGATCATGCCGGCGGCAGCATGCGGACGGCGGAGAGCATTCTCCGGCTGGTTCCCGTGGGGTTGTGCGTGTCAGCTCTGGTAGTCATGCTCAAGAACTCCCAGACCAACGATTTCGGCTCCCTCTCTTACTCTGATCTCGCTGCCTTCAGGTCCCCATTCTTAATCCCCTTTTTTCCTTGCAGTTCTTATCTTGACAAGACAGAAAATGTTTGATTGATTTCGTTGATCAAACCCCATCTCTGTATAGTTTCCATTGAATGCATGTTGGGTTGATAAGATGGATGGATGAGCTAGAAAGGGTCAAAATTGGTGGCTATGGGGATCATTAATGGCGGATGTGAGGTTAGAAGTCGGTATCATTTCCTTTTCTGGCTACTAGCAATAGCATCACGGGTAGGCTCCTCAAAAGGGTTGGTCTAGTTGTAATGCGGGAGAATTTAGAATTCGAACCTTGCGGCCAACAATCAGTTAGATAAACAAGAGTAGTTTTACAGAAAGCTTCAAAGACTAATGTTTCTTTTATAATGGCGTACATTTTGACACATGCAGGTACTTGGTACACGCCAACGGCATCTGTGCAGGCTACGCCCTGCTCTCCGCCGTCGTGGTGGCAATGCCGCGTCGCCCGGCCACCACTGCGGGATCGGCCTGGACCTTCTTCCTCCTGGACCAGGTGTTCACTTACTTGATCCTGGCGGCAGCTGCTGTCTCCGCCGAGGTGCTCTACCTTGCTGACAAGGGCGACCTTGACATTACGTGGAGCGCGGTCTGTGGCTCGTTTGGTGTGTTCTGCCACAAGGCCATGGCCTCCTTGGTCCTGACATTCGTCGTGGTTCTCTTCTTCATTGCGATCTCGCTCGTCTCGTCCTACAAGCTGTTCAGTAGGTTCGATGCACCTGTCCTCAGCTGCCCTGCTGCTGCAAAGGGAGGTCTCGAGATTACGGCGTTTTAGAACTTCAAGTTATGTGTACTGTCGTCATCATCATATATGTGCAATGTATGAATAAGTTACAGACCGAGGAAGTTATGATATACATGGTATCAATGTGCTTGTGACGATAGCTCTCATCCTCATGTTAATGGCTCTTTCACCCTACTGATTTCTACACTTGGAAAACCAACAATGCATGCCGGCTTCTATTTCTGCAAGTTCACTACTGAGCCTAAATGCAATTCGAAATAAGAAGAATACCATGATCCATCAAGAGGACTTGTTGCGAATCCATTCATTTCCTTGAATGAAGTTCTGGACAGAGTAGGCCTCTACATGCTCAGCAGGCACTTGGCTGCTCCATGGTACTCTCTCCGACGTATTAGCTCCATCCCCGTAGTTCTCAAACTCGCCATAGTACAGCGTCGCCAGCGCGAAATCCCCTCTCCATGGCATCCACCCTTGCCTTGTCACAAGTGCTTCCAAGTTGCAGCGTATGAACACAGTTCTGCACCATTGGAAAATTGCAAATAATGAAGTTTGACATCACTGACATAACATAAGGTCAATTTTCATTTAGGGGACTCAGTTGATAGTCATGATCCAGTACCTGGAGAACTCCTTCCACGGCCTGCCCAAGATAGTTCCGGTGCGCCTTAGGCTTGCCACGGTACAGCTTCATATACTCCTCCGTGCCATTAATCAGGCAGTCACGGAACACGAACCCAGTGGACTGCGCAGGATCCGTCCTGCCCTGCGCTGTCACTGCGTTGCTCTCGCCTTTCTCCGGCTTCACCAGCCTCGGAGCCACCAGGATGGTGCAGTTGTCGAAGATCGCGGCGGAGTTCCCGAAGATGAAGTCTACATTGCCCTGAATCCGGCAGGACTTGTAGTACTGGCGGAGGGAGTGGGCATAGAGGGTGTCTTGGTTGCCAAGGAGCTCGCAGTTTTCGATCAGCGACAGATCGCTGTCGACTCTCAGGGCCACTGCTTGGTGGGTGGGAGCTCCAGCTGTGTTCTGGATCGTTAAATCTCTCGCCATGAATCCATCTCCAAGAACCGCTGCAGAAATCAATCATGGGGATATTGTTGCTATGTTCAACAAGAGTGTACTGTTTGAGCAATTGCAGTATATTTAGCACATTAGCTTGATACCTAAACTTTTCAACGTTTCCAAATTTGGACACTAAACTTTGAATTATTGTAGAAATCTGACATTAGTAGTTATATACTAATCATTTCATTTTATTGTATTAATTAAGATGGGTCAGCGTATTACCGACTGTGGCCGTGTTGTAAGTGGAAATCCCGGGTTGACCGACGGTTAACGACCCGGTTATAACGGTTCGACCCATCCCGTCACCCAGGAACACCAAATTCCTCTTCTCCAACGAAACCCTAACGATCTCCTCGTAAACCCCTTCCTTTATCCGGATAACAAACTTCCGTCCGCCGCTCGGCAGATTGTCCGGCGCGGAATCCACCGCCGCTTGCACCGTCTCGTAATCACACCCGCCGCCTCCACCGCTCTTGCAAACCGTCTTGGCCGGGTTCAATCCCGACGGGAATCCGACCGGACCCGGACCCGCTTCCCCGCCCGACTTCTCCCAGAACCCGTCCCGCTCCGTCTTCGGCGGGGCCCACGACCCGGTCTCGTCGCCGTAAACGTCGTAGGCCACAAGCATACTCAGCGCGTTGCTGGTGAGCGTCATTAACGAGTCGAGAAACGACATCGTTTGGGCAGTCAGCGACGTGTCGTTTGCGTACATTAGCGAGTTCCTGCAGTCGTACTGGTACAGCAGCGCCGCGCTCATCCACGCGCGCGCGTCCTTGATTCCTCCTCCACCGCGGCGGAGGGCTTCTCCGGCCGCGGTGGACTGGATGCGGTGCTGCGAGTTGGCGAGGACTTCGACGCAGTTTTTCGCGGCGGTAGCGCGGTTGATGTTAGAGGACGAGCCCATAATCGACTTCACCATCGACTGCGCGACGGAGAGATTGGAAGATGAAATTGAAATCGCCGACTGAATTAGGTCGATCGGAGTTGGGTGTTTCTGAAGAGCCGCGGCGGAATTGGCCAGGGAAGACCGGCAGATGTCTGGGAACCGGGTGGCGCTGCAGGATTGAGCAATCTGGGCCGGAATCTGTCCCGCTGACGAGGACCCAATTGGGGTCTTTTTGGATCTGGGTTCCGGTGATCGGAAAATGCGGAGGGATCTGGGTTGGGAAACAGAGGAGGAGGATTGAGAAGGAAAGGAGAGGAAGATGAGGAGCAGAGTAATGAGAGAAGCCATGGAAATGAGGAAGAAAGATGAGCTGGTGAGTAGGGATTTGGTGGGTTTTCTGAAAAGCGAACGGATCGGCATTTCAAATTTATAGCAGCTAGTGAAAGGAAGGTGCGATTTTGGAGCTTTTCAGCGACAGTGAAATATGGAGGAATACAATTAACAGTAGTGGGAGTAGATTAGTGGAACGTTTAGGTCGGTGGCAGTTGGTGGGATCACCGGTGGAAAGTTTTCCGACTGGTTTTTGCTTTTGCTCTGGGTCTGGGGTGAAGGAAGAATGAAGAGAAATAGCGGGAGAGATTAGCCAATCGTGGCTTATACGTCTTAATTTACTCTTAATGGGCTCAACTAATTGTGGTTTATTTGGTTAGAACTGGCCCATTTCTTGAAGGGAGAAAATAGAAGCGGCCGTTCTAACCCATTTCTTAAAGGGAGAAAGAAAATAGAAGCGGCTCATTTCTAAGCCCAAGTCCATTGAGGAAAGGACCAGATAGTGATATATCCTAAATACGGGTACCATACTGAAATAGAGAGATGGAGGATTGAGAGAGCGAAGCGAAGCGAGAGTGACAATAAACCCTCAATTTCAGGCGCAGAAGATCGAGGAAGAAACCTTGCAGGCAAACAATGAGAGGAAGAGGCATTTCAATCCCTACCAATTTCATCGGTAATCATGCTCAAAGGTCTTCCTTCTTCTCTCCTTTCTCCACTTCTTCCGGCGGAGGAGGGCGCGGCAGCGGTCGTGGCCAGATCTTCACTCCCGGCCAATTCTCCTTCACCAATGAGACACAGAACGCAGACGAGGAGAAGAAACCTGATGCGGCGGCTGGCAAGCCCGAGCAGCCGCCGCCGCGGGAAGCTGGAGGACAAGGTCACGGCCGCGGGAAGCCTCTCGCATCTGGGCCGGTTTTCCCGGAGTTCTCTTCCTTCATCTCTTCCCTCAAGCAGACGGCTGCAGCTCCCGGCGGAAGCGGCGGCGGCATCGGACGCGGGAGCGGGAGAGGCTTTGGTGGGGAGGTACCGCGGTCGGAGAAGCCTGCGCCTGGTGCTCCGGCTGCGGGTACTCCGCCAGGAAGAGGCTCTGTTCTTCCGGCGAAGGAGAGCTATCTGCCTTCCAGTTTGAGGTCTACACTGCACAGTTTCGGCCGCGGGAAATCTGATGCGCCGGTGGTGGCAGAAGGAATACCGGAGAAGGAAGTGAACAGGCATATTCGTAGTGCTAGGGTGAGCCCGAGAGCAGAGGGTGACGATGGTGATGGTGATGGAGCTGGCGAGCAGATTCAGAGAAGGCCGAGGTTTAGCCAGGAGGAGGCAGCGCGGCGAGGTGGAGACGAGGGAGGTGAAGGGAGGAGAAGAGGTGATGGCGAAATGCAGATGGGGCGTGGCCGTGGTACTGGTAGGGGGCGAGGAAGGGGAATGGGGAGAGGGAGAGGGAGGGGAAGGGAGAGGGGAGATTTTGGCGGTGGAAGGGGAAGGGGACGGCAGAGGGATCAACTGGCTGCTGATGATGATTCAGAGGGCGAGGACTTTGCTCTAGGAAACAAGGCTGATGGAGAGAAACTGGCACAAACTGTTGGTGTTGAGTTCATGAACCAGCTTGTTGATGGGTTCGAAGAGATGGGTAGTAGAGTTTTGCCATCACCTCTTGAGGATGAATTCTTGGATGCATTAGACACCAACTTCAAGGTAATGAATTCATTGTTTTCACATAGATTCTTAGAATTGTTCTTCAAATTTTCTTATACTAAAGAGAAACTAGTATGCAATGGTTATTCGTGTTAGTAGATCATATACTCTTGCTTTGATGTGTTATTGGAGAGATGCTACTGTGAAATAGTTTATTGGTGATAAAGTTGTTCTTTCTTTGAGTTGCAGATTGAGTTTGAGGAAGAATACCTTATGGGAGAATTTGATCAGAACCCAGACATTGACGAGAAACCACCTATGCCCATACGGGACATGTTGGAGAAAGTGAAGCCATTCTTAATGTCCTATGAAGGAATCCAGAATCAAGCGGAATGGGAGGTGCGTTTGAATGTTGTTAAGCACTTTGTTTCTTATCAGCTCGAAGTTAACTGCGACTTCCTTCGTATCCAGCAACAAATCTGATAACCAATCGAGGCCTTTTTCTTGATGCTTATAACCAAACCCAACTGTTTTGTTCTAACATAATAATGACTTGTTGTTAATAATTTATGATGACAGCTTGTTTTGTTCTATAAACCCAGCAATTTCGGTTATCATTTCCCTCTCCCGGAGAAAGTAGAATGGCTGGAATCAGTGTGTTTCTTTGTTGTTGATGTGTGGTTCATGTTTCTCTTTTATCAGGAGGCAGGTTGAAGAAACAATGAAGAACTGTGCCATTATTGAAAAAGATAGTTGAGCACTACAGTGGACCTGATCGGGTAACAGCAAAACAACAACAACAAGAGCTGGAAAGAGTTGCACAAACCATTCCTGCTGCTGCTCCTCCTTCTGTGAAACGTTTCGCTGATCGAGCCGTTCTTTCTCTTCAGGTTAGTGCTATCACTGCCAATCTTACCCTGACTTTTGAGGTTCATACCATGTTGTATGCATATTGCACGTTTAAACAATTGTCACATTACTTAAATCTCAACTTGGAGTTCGCATCTGGTATGTTACGCTTAAACCAACTACTGAATTTTGAGCAAGTTTCATGATTTTCCCTTTCGGGTTTATGATCATAGATCCTTCATGAGTTGTCAAGGAATGTCCTTGCCTGAAGATATGGAAAGTTAGGTTGTTGTTTAGTTCAGGATCATACGGCTCTTGTGGCTACTTTGTTGGGCTTTGTGCACGATTTTTGGCCTTGGGGCTAATCTTTTATATATGCCCCGTTTGAAAAAATATTTATCCTCAATTAACTTGGGATGTATTGCCGCTAGTGCTATTTTGACGGTTAATCCTTGAGTAAAAATGTGGAGTTGAGTGAAAGGACTTCGCTCAACGCAGTCATTATTTGAATCCCATGGATAGTGCAAAGCTCTGATGAATTTTGAATCTTTAGCTTCTATGAATGAAGCTGCAGATAATTCAGAGCAGACTTGGTTAGGGATAATATCGATAATGAATGTGGTAGGAAAGTGAGAGCTCTAGAGTCCTTAGTTACAGTTGGCGAACAGTGAATATAAAGGAGTCCTTGAGCACTGGACCAATTTTGTCTACCCGGGAGCTTAATTCCTCTTCTTGTTGGCCCTTTCATTTTGCTTATCTATCTTCAATCAGGTTGAGCAATGAACTCGATTATTCATCTGGAGAGAAACTCAAAGTTCGAACCTCTCCTTTTCCCTAACATCAGCATCAAGTTAAGCTTTATGGGTGTCGATTTTTGGATGATTGTGGATTAACTTAACCATCTATGTGGTGTTGAAATTTTTACAGAGCAATCCCGGGTGGGGGTTCGACAAGAAGTGCCAGTTTATGGACAAGCTAGTAATGGAAGTATCGAAAAGTTATCAATGATTATTAGTACGATTGCTGCAGCAGTTCGGGGGCGAGCTCATTTCTCATCATTCTCTGGATACCGTTTCAATTTTATGATATCATTCTCTGGATACTGTTTCAATTTTATGATATCATTCTCTGAATTTGTTCAATTTGCTCTGGGAAACCCCAAGGATAGTAGATTTTTCATAATGGTTGATAGTCAGTAGTCAGTTTTATTTTATCACTACTGTAAACTCACGAGGGATTTGGTGATGAAAATACAAGTTATCTTTATCCCACTAGCTTTGACCCTGCCCTTTGGGCAGGTAACTTTTGTGTAATATGGCCATCAAAGTAACAAAATGCCAATTAGAGTCCTCTGAAGGCCAGATATCTTAAGAAAATCACAACCCATAACCCAAAATTCAGCGCCTAGAGACATCACGGAAAGGAAAAAGAAACCATGCAGCTCAATTCACCGTTCAAATTCAAAAGAAATAGAGTAAGTTATTTTCATCTTGATGGAGATTCTGAGAGAAGTTTGGAAGGCATCTAGTGTGGCCTTGCAGGTTGAAGTCCAATCAATCTATAAAGAAGAATCCCATAGAATCCTCCAACCCATAGTAAGGGTTATTTAACGGCTTCCAGGCTCCAGCGAGCAAGTGAAATCCCATAAAATGATAAATTAAAAATCTCGACGAAACTCAGGTTGGCTCTTAGTACGACGATGGCGCTTGGAAAATGGACCATGAAATATGTGAAGGATACCGCTTTTAAATCAGTAAATAATGGTCTTATCATCCGGAGAATAGGATCAATAGACTTCATTATCGTTGGAGAATAGGCTCGGCCTGATTCCGTGATCTGCAGCCTCCAGAATCGAAAAAGATCGCATTTCGGAAATATCGCCCGAAATCTGTGATGGTACCCCTTTGGAATCTGCCAAAAATGGACCTAGAATAAATTGGCCCAAATCGACGCTTAATGGACTTAATCCTCGTTGAAGAATAGACTCAGGCCAAATCTGTGATCTGTAGCCTTCAAAATTCAAAGAAAATGGGTTTTCGTCGCCCAAAAAATTTACGAAAATGTCATCCAAAAATAAATTGGCCCAAATCGGAGCTTAATGGACTTATCATCCGTGGAGAATAGGATCAATAGACTTCATTATAGGTGGAGAATAGGCTCATCCAGATTCCGTGATCTGCAGCCTCCAGAATCGAAAGAAAATGCCATTTCAGAAAAATCGCCCAAAATCTGTGATGGTAGCCCTTTAGAATATGACAAAAATGGGCCCAGAATAAATTCGTCCAAATCGGCGCTTAATGAACTTAATCATCGTTAACGAATAGCCTCACGCCGAATCCTGTGATCTGTAGCCTTCAAAATCCACAGAAAATGGCCTTTTGTCGCCCATAAAATTATGAAAATGGCATCCGAAATTAAATTGGCCCAAATCGGTGCTTAATGGACTTATCATTCGTGGAGAATAGGATCAATAGACTTCATTATCGGTGGAGAATAGACTCGGTCTGATTCCGTGATCTGCAGCCTCCAAAATCGAAAGAAAATGCCATTTTGGAAAAATCGCCCGAAAACTATGATGGTAACCCTTTGAAATCTGCCAAAAATGGGCGCGGAATAAATTCACCCAAAACTATGATGGTACCCCTTTGAACTTAATCAACGTTGAAGAATAGCCTCAAGCCCAATCCGTGATCTGTAGCCTTCAAAATAAAAAGAAAATGGCCTTTCGTCGCCCAAAAAATTATGAAAATACAATCTGATAATAAGTTGGACCAAATCGGTGCTTGAAGGACATATCATCCGTGGAGAATAGTATCAATAAATTTCATTATCGGTGGAGAATAGGCTCGGCCTAATTCCGTGATCTGCAGACTCCAGAATCGAAAGAAAATGGCATTTCGGAAAAATCGCCCGAAATCTGTGATGGTACCCTTTTGGAATCTGCCAAAAATGGACCCAGAATAAATTCGCCCAAATTGGCGCTTAATGGACTTAATCATCGTGGAAGAATAGCCTCAGGCCGAATCCGTGATCTGTAGCCTTCAAAATCCAAAGAAAATGGCCTTTCGTCGCCCACAAAATTACAAAAATGCCATCCAAAAATAAATTGGCCCAAATCGGTGCTTAATGGACTTATCATTCGTGGAGAATAGGATCAATAGACTTCATTATCGGTGAAGAATAGGCTCGGTCTGATTCTGTGATCTGCAGCTTCCAGAATCAAAAGAAAATGGCATTTCTGAAAAATCTCCCGAAAACTGTGATGGAACCCCTTCGAAATCTGCCAAAAATGGGTCCGGAAAAAATCGCCCAAATCTACGCTTAATGGACATAATGATCGTTGAAGAATAGCCTAAAGCCCAATCCGTGATCTGTAGCCTTCAAAATCCAAAGAAAATGGCATTTCGTCGCCCAAAAAATTAGGAAAATGCAATCCGAAAATAAGTTGGACCAAATCGGTGCTTGAAGGACATATCATCCGTAGAGAATAGGATCAATAAGTTTCATTATCGGTGAAGAATAGGCTCGGCCTGATTCCGTGATCTGCAGCCTCCAGAATCGAAAGAAAATGGCATTTCGGAAAAATCGCCCGAAATCTGTGATGGTACCATTTTGGAATCTGCCAAAAATGGACCCGGAATAAAATCGCCCAAATCGGCGCTTAATGGACTTAATCATTGTTGAAGAATAACCTCATGCCGAATCCGTGATTTGTAGCCTTCAAAATCCAAAGAAAATGTCCTTTCGTCGCCCCAAAAATTACGAAAATGCCATCCGAAATAAGTTGGCCCAAATAGGTGCTTAATGGACTTATCATCCGTGGAGAATAGTATCAATAGACTCCATTATCGGTGGATATAGGCTCAGCCTGATTCCGTGATCTGCAGCCTCCAGAATCGAATGAAAATGGCATTTCGGAAAAATTGCCTGAAATCTGTGATGGTACCCCTTTGGAATCTGCCAAAAATGGGCCCGGAATAAATGCGCCCAAATCGGCACTTAATGGACTTAATCATCGTTGAAGAATAGCCTCAGGCCGAATCCGCGATCTGTAGCCTTCAAAATCCAAAGAAAATGGCCTTTCGTCGCCAGAAAAATTACGAAAATGCCATCCGAAAATAAATTGGCACAAATTGGTGCTTTATGGACTTATCATCCGTGGAGAATAGTATCAATAGACTTCATTATCGGTGGATATAGGCTCGGCCTGATTACGTGATCTGCAGCCTCCAGAATCGAAAGAAAATGGCATTTCGGAAAAATTGCCCGAAATCTGTGATGGTACCCCTTTGGAATCTGCGAAAAATGGGCCCGGAATAAATTCGCCCAAATCGGCACTTAATGGACTTAATCATCGTTGAAGAATAGCCTCAGGCCGAATCCGCGATCTGTAGCCTTCAAAATCCAAAGAAAATGGCCTTTCGTCGCCAAAAAAATTACGAAAATGCCATCCGAAAATAAATTGGCCCAAATCGGTGCTTAATGGACTTATCATCCTTGGAGAATAGTATCAATAGACTTCATTATCGGTGGATATAGGCTCGGCCTGATTCCGTGATCTGCAGCCTCCAGAATCGAAAGAAAATGGCATTTCGGAAAAATTGCCCGAAATCTGTGATGGTACCCCTTTGGAATCTGCCAAAAATGGGCACGGAATAAATTTGCCCAAATTGGCACTTAATGGACTTAATTATCGTTGAAGAATAGCCTCAGACCGAATCCGCGATCTGTAGCCTTCAAAATCCAAAGAAAATGGCCTATAGTCGCCAAAAAAATTACGAAAATGCCATCCGAAAATAAATTGGCCCGAATCGGTGCTTAATGGACTTATCATCCGTGGAGAATAGTATCAATAGACTCCATTATCGGTGGATATAGGCTTGGCCTGATTCCGTGATCTGCAGCCTCCAGAATGGAATGAAAT